TTGCCCGCGCAGTTTTCAACGTTAAATGAAGTTGGTTTGACCCTTTGGCCACGACGTGAATCCCTGGAAAAAAATTCACGATTTCCGGCTCACCTATTTAACTTTATTCAAAAGAATCCAAACCAAAAGGTGAATCAATGTCAAGAAAGTCGATTAATGACGCAGATACAAACTGCAAAAGTCAGTCAATACATAAAGTTCAAAACTACAGAATCTTCCCGGTCTACCCGAAGAATCAACGTTTAAACAACGCAAGTAATAAGTTCGTAAATTTTATTAAATTGTTTTAATTAATTACACTTTCTATCTAATGCGAACCCACCCATGAAAATAACTTTTTCATCTCAACCAAGACCTTAAATAAAACGTATAATTAATTAAAATTATTAATATGAATGAATGCGACTATATGAATTTTATTAAATTTTATTCCTACATTGATTAGAGTAGGCTCTATTTTATCGAGACAATTTAAACTTAATTTGGCACTTCAAGACTTAAAAACACGCTCAACTTTGTTTTCTCACAATTTTCTCAATTTGTTAAGAATTATTTCCTTCAAAAATCTTTAATTTTTAAGTCTATAGGGAAAGATGGAAATATAGAAGGTCAGTTGTTTCACCTCCACTGACTCAAACTTATACCCTGAGGCAAAAGCTCCCACCTTCTATAGTTAATAATCTCTTAATTATGTACTTCCAATTTAATACTCCGCTAATTAGCTGCAAAAGGGTTATATTTAGTAATAATAAACAATCAATACTTACAGCTAATGAATGGTTAATAAACTTTGTACCTAAGAACATCTTATGGAAAGTCTGTTTTCATTATTGAATTTTGTTTGTTTGGCCTTTATAAAATCACAACATAAATTACGTAAAACTTCATTTTGTGTTAGGGTAATTTCAGTTTATAGTCGAATATTTACGATTATTATAGGTTTTTGTTTTTAGTAATGTCTGTAACGTGTGTGTATTGAGGTCAATTAAATACGAACAATCACAAATTGTGCGAATCGACGTTCACATTAAACAGACACAGTGTGACTGAGAGGATCTGTATTTAACACTAAGTCTATTTGTCTTCATTCAAACGAATTCTAAAAGAGACACCTCCCATTTACTTTGTGACATACACTAAAATGCTTTCACGAAATGAACTTATTCCGTGGGCCCTTAATCTGAGGGCGTTTGTGCTGAATTGCTTTATAAACTGTGTACTCTATCGCTTCATACCATTTCCAATTTCGTATGAGGTATTTCCAATCAGAAATCGCGTTCGGCGTATAGATTAAAACGGACAAATTCCTTCAGAAAATAGGTAAATTTCTTGTAACAGTTGACGTCGGGTGGTATGAGATTTGTTGGAAACCTTCCAGAGTGCGATCCCGGTCCGCCCATTCTCGCTTTATTAAAATGAAGCATATCAATAAATATGATCATCAGGGACGATCAAACTGTTCACAATTTCTTTGAATGGTTTTGTTAAAGAAAACTAATCATTTTCCAGACTTCTTAAATTGTTTTTTGGTTCGATGAAATTCATATTCAATTAATTAAGGTTTTGGTTGAGATAAAAATGTATTTTTTAAAATTAATGGTTAAAAAAATTTTATTTGGTCAAACGGACCACGAAACCTAATAAAATGTAATCAAATTTAAAGCCTACAGTAGCATTCAATAATTTATAATTGTATGACAGAAAGATACTTGTTCTAAAATCCAAAACAATTGTAATTAAAAATAATTACAGACATAGTTTTTTGTCTTTTGTACATGCTTTAACAATAATTATAATTGCTAAAATAATTTATACTTGAGTTTAACATTTTATTAAATCTATTATGTTTAGTGGTCTGATTGACCAAATTACTTCTTTCAATTAATTATCCTTTTTGTGTCAGGCCTTGGTTGAAATGAAAAGTTAGTGTCACGAGCGAGATTCGAACCCACCCATTCGAGCGGAAGGTCCAGTGTTCGAATCCCGCTCGTGACACTAACTTTTATCAAATATTAAAAGCAAATCTAATTTTATAGTTTGGTCGTTTCAGATCATTTTTATATGCCAATTCTTGCTCTTTTGATCTGACAGACGCGTTGCGACAATAATTGCAATTGTTAAATTAAATTAACCTTAATCTATCATTTCTGATCCCGTAATGAAGATTTCACAATTGGCTAACGATTATTTCCAAATCTCACATCGCTAATTTTCTCGGACATCGCTTTCAAAAATCACAAACATAAAAGCGGACTCTAGCGTTTCCGTTGATAAAAGTATGTGATATATTTTTAATTTTTAATGCTTGTTAACTAATGAATAAAATAGTAAAAAACTGAAGGTTTCTAATACTTCTACACCCTAAACTATTATAATTAATTTTATTATTGATTAGGTTGATTTGGGGAGTTGGTGACCAAGTGGATCGAAGTCACAACAGCTCAAGTGGTTAGAGCAGCGGCGTTATTGAGCCGAAGGTCGTGGGTTCCAATCTCGCTCGTGACACTAACTTTTTTCATTTCAACCAATAAATTACATAAAAAGATAAATTAATTGAACCAAGTTATTTGGTCAATCGGACCACGAAATATACTGGATTATAATTAATATTATATACTATATGTAATTATATATATCATCTTTAAGATCATGCATTTTTCTTTATTCTTAGAAAAATATTATATGAAGAATTTCGTGATTATTTAATATGGGTGTTGTTTAATTAATTTTCATATAAAAGCAGAGAGCCAGTAACAGGTCAAGATGTCGAATGGCTGCAAGCTGAAATATTTACGTGAAAGATCAGAAAAAGAAGTAAAAACGCGGAGAGGGCCGGCGAGGTACTCAGCGGTTTGTCAGCCCCTGAACTCTTCACATTATTATTGTAATATGATACCGTAAATAAGGACTTTTAGTATGTAGTTATATAAAGATTATCGATAAAAGAAATGAGTATAAGTATTATATTGTGAAATATCGTCCTGGGGTGTGCAAGGTGATCTACATATAAACAGCTCAAAAATTAATAGGGATATTGTTAATTTTGTAGTATTTACTTTCCCTACCACTTTTATCTTATCCCACTAAGGGGCACTCTCAACACCACACCCAATAATGACACATCTACACAGAAAACAAACACTTTGAGCACTGAAGATGACCTCAATAAAGATCGAAACGTTGGCACGGTAATGAAAATTTTTTTCTAAAACCTACGTCACACAAGACCGCACCTTACGATCTTCAAATAATCATTAACAAAATAACATATTTTAATTCCATAATTTTGTTTATTGGGCGCAATATTTTTTTAAACAATTAATACCGTATAATGTCCTTCGTTAACGAAAAGCTCTGTGCACCTGTTAGGCATACTGTTAATAAGTTCACTAATTTCGTGGTCCGCTTGACCAATTAATATATTACAATTAATTAGGGTTTTCAGTTGAGATAAAAAAGTCAATGGCACGAGCGGGAATCGAACCCACGATCTTCGGCTTGATACGCCGCTGCTCTACCACTTGAGCTATCGTGACCTCGATCCACCAACCGCACCTTTTGAATTTTCCCTCCTTTTTGCCATTTTGTTAATAAGGTTACTAATTTAATAATGAATTTCACTCCATAGATGTTGCAATGCTGCACTCAGTTGTTGCAGGTCAACTGGCTGCAAAGGGAGGTAGAAAAGCTTTCACTGTAACGCATCCCACATGTGCTCAAAGGGATGTCTGGAGACAATGGGGGAAGTGGCAGATGGAAAATTCCCTTGTTTTCTTAACAGTGTTGAACTCTGCCTCTATGAGGTCTAGCACTGTCATCCAGAAAACGAAAATCCAAGCCAATGAGATCCCTGGTTTGCGGGATATATTCCTCGATAATTTCTTGCACATAACAGATTGCGCTGAGGTTGGCTTCAACAACATGGAGTCCAGTTCTTCCTCCAAACTGCATTGAAGGGAGTATGAACTGGGGCATTGTACGCATCCCCTGTTCTCGGTAGATTCTTCGGGGCCTGTTATCACTAAACTGAAAAAAACGCGACTCATCAGTAAACATGGCAGCATTCCAATTGGTTCTCTTCTAGACGCTCGCTGCACCATATTCTCTTGAGTTGTTGCAAGTAGTCTCAAAGGAGCATGCCATGTGAGGCCAACTTGATAACTGCCTGCTAAAGATGTACTTCATTTAGGAACTGGCAAACACTATGGAAACGGTTCGGTCTTGAAGCAATGACAATATTTTTGTCCTCCCTTAACGTCGTAAGATCTACTACCAGGCTAAAGCCCGGGAGACTACGCTCTGGAAAACGCCTACTGACTCTGCGATATCCAATTGCCGGTGACCTCGATGACTCATTCTCACAATAAAATTGCAAACTTCTGGTTTAAGATGAGGTCTTTCCATGGTTAAATATAATACAACTGGATTAAAAATGGTGAAAAGACGAGAAAAGGTGTTTGTTTATAAAATGAATAATCTTCATGTTTACTATTCTTAACTAAATCCGTTATTAAAAATGAGGATTAGAATTGGTTTGTTTTGGGTTTGTATTTTCTTTTTCTTTTTTTTTTTTTTTTGTCAAACACAAGAATATATGGGTTAATTTAATTCAAATTAATAGAATAAGAATGAATTACAAATATCCCTATTCATTTTTGATCAGTTTAGTTTGGACTTTTTCTATGATTTTGATTATGGCTAGGGAGGAAACCTATTTATGAAAAAAGGGTATAGTAAAGAACCGACTGGAAACAACCAAAATAGACCACCACCCCACACTTCTAAAGAGAAAAAATCTCACAACTCATATTTGTTTGTAATTGTGGGTTCTTAACAATAGTCAAAAAATTGGTCCAATAAAAGATTAATTGTATACGCTTTGTTAGATAACGTTCGTCAAATCAGCAAGTCAAAATATTTGCGTTGACATCGAAAGACGATAATTAATAGGAATCTAACATAATTACACCATAATGAATATATTCTTCTTTTTTTTCTAGGAACACCTGCCGATAATCTCGTCGTGTTGGACGGAACACGCCCTCCTCGGCTCACGAGCTGTGATTAATAAGTTGAAGGACGGGCCGGTAGTGAATTATGATATTGGGGTCCTTGAAGATCCAGGCTCAGGATCAAATACCGCAGCGAGTCATGACTGCCGGGACCTTCTGGAAGAATCGGCCGATTTTTTAATTTACAGTTGGAAATTTCGTCCGGGGAGTCCTTTCTGGTTTCAACAGGACCGGGTCCGGCTGGCCGACAAACGAACAAGGACCAATTGCACAACCGAAAAAGCCGGTCGCCTATATTTTCGTTTTATAAAGTCGTCCGACGGTTAAATGTCTTTTGGTCTTCTTGGATAAACCGGAGAGAGTATCGTTCAACTCGACCAACTCCCGACTTCCCGGCCGTCGGGACGTCGGCAAAACAACCCGCCCGTCTTAGCGTGTTTCGTTATCGATTGTTTACAAACAAGAGTATGGGGTTGTAATAATTGGGGGAAATGAGATGGGATGAGAAAAGGCGATTGGAGGTAGTGGTGTGGAGGTGTATTTTATTGAATGGAAACCCGTCACCGTGGAGATGCTCTCTCGTTGGCATGGGAACCCCGACACAAACGTTCCCTCTACGTCACGGCGTAGGAGGCGCCCTATTTGGGCTTTCCTCGTTTTGACCCACTTACCTGACCCCTTCCCCTTTTAATTCCACGAGCCTCTCCTAATAATAAACCCATTGTTCAAACGGTCTGAGATCTATGAGTTCCCAACAGACGGATATAAAAAAAATGGACTGCACATGCAAATTTACATGAAGAACGGCAAGTCGACTATTTTGTCCTAAACCAGATGAACAGTGGATTCCCCAATCAAAATCAAATTATAACACCGCATAAATTTTATTTCACATAACGAATAGAAGACAACGAATTCCGAGGTCAAGCCCAGAAACCAAGGACAAGACACAGAAATCGTAAAAAAAAAAACTAATAAAATCTACCAAATTGGCCAATTCACTGTCTTATTAGATTGCATCACAAAAAATAAAATAAAGTTAAAATTCAAATCAACGGTTAGAAATGTGTTTTATTGACCTATTGTCTCATAATTTGTTAACGTCGTGAGGAGCGGTCAAGAATGAGATAGTTTCGAAAAACACCTTTTTCATTTTTTTTCCGACGTTTCGACCATTATTCGGGTCATCTCCGCGGCATAAAGTGTGCTATTCTTGTGGTATAATATTGGTGTTGTGTGAAAGTGTTGTGAAATGTGTGTTTCTTAGTCTTAGTCTTAGTGTTGTTTCATAATTTTCATTTATGTCCTGAAGATGACCCGAATAAAGGTCGAAACGTAGGCAAAAAAGAATAAGGTGTTTTTCTAAACTATTTCACTCTTGATCGCTCCTCACGACTTCAAGAAATGATTCAAATCAACACTTATAAAGTATTGTGTAATAACGGGCTAATAATATCATCTGAAACTACTCGTTACGCCCTATATTTGAACGAAGATTCCGGGTCGATTCTCCTGATAACTAAATTTAAAAGCAACTAAATAATACGAGATATACAACAAGCTCAGACAGAAATTAAAATAATGGTCAAATTGGCTTACAATTTACATTCCGAACAGTAACAGTCGATTACTTCGCCCAGTTGAACAGTAGATCCCCCTATCAAAATCAAACTGTAACGCCATATAAACATTGTTTCACATAACAAAGAGAAGACAGAAATAATCATTCCCAAGGTCAAGCCCAGAAACCCAGGAAAGACACACAAACCGTTAAAAAAAAATCTACCAATTTGACCAATTCATTGTCTAATTAGATTGCATCGCAAAAAATAAAGCTAAAATTCAAATCAAAACTTATGAAGTATGGTGTAATAATCGGCTAATAATATCATCTGAAACCTATCGTTACGCCCTCTATTTGAACGCAGATCACGGGTTAATTCTGAAGACAAAATATCGAAGATAATCAAATGGTACAATAAAATTATTTATCAATTTAAAAACAATTATATGGCACGATACAGACAGTTTCCAGGCTGAAATTTCAAAACTGTAGAACTGACGTACAAATTTACAAGTATTACACTCGTAGCCGGCAATTCCACCTGAAACAAGATGAACAACGTATCTCCTTACAAAAAATAACACGTAAATATAATGTTTCATATAAGGAATATTGAAATACAGAAGTAAAAACTCCGAGGTCAAGCCCAGAAACCTATTGTACATGACACCCAAGTGAAAGAAAGCAAGAAAAAAAGAATAAAAATCTGATTGTTCACTATATTATTAGATTGCATTGGGGAAAAACATAACTAAAAATGTATGAAAACTTATAAAGTATGGTGTAATAACCGGTGGACGGCTGATATCAGATATCTAAAATCATATTGAAACAACTCGCAATGCCTTATCAACAGGGATCTTAGCTGTGTATCCTACATATGTCATAACAAATCGAAAGAATTCAATTGGTAGAAGTATTTACTATTTTTAAAAAATTAAATTAAATTTATAGGGTTCGAAATATACTGCATCTGCAGACCAATATTAACCAACTTTCGCCCTACACCAGATGAACAGTCCACCTTTTCAAAATAGATAACACCCAATATGGTTTTACATAAGGAATAGTAAAGATAATTGATAATTATCAATTATAATAACAATAATTATAATTAATAATTGTTGAGAAATTAATTCCCAATCAGCCGAGTGTCAGTACATGATAGTAATGTATCATTTTTATTTGTCTGTCCTCGCAGATTTGATCAGTCAGGACGAGCAACTAAAAGGTTCATCACTTCGTAGGCCACAATAGTTTAAAAAAAAAAAAAAAAAAACGTTCGATTTAAACGAAAGAAACGATAATATGATTAATTCACAAAGTTTTTACCCTTGCGGTATTTTCCATCAATTATTTTATCAATAAACTATCTCTAAAAATGGCCATGCAATCCAAAAAAAATTCGTCTAAAGCGTTTCAAACATTGCGCTTTTATCTTATCTCTGATATATCTTTGTATTTTCCTTATAGTTAATCTTTTTTAATAGATTTTTACATAAATTTAAATGTTAAGAAATATTTTCATCAGTGCACACTCCTAAAACTTTTTCTTTCTTTTTAATTTTGAAAACGCATACACACAGAGTATTTTTTGGGGTTTTGAACAAATTCACAGTAATGAACTATCAGCAAAAACCTATTTTAAAACGTTATAAACATCTGTAGAAAATGTCTTCATTAGGAACTGCGTAACACGAAATTACAGCCAAAACTGTTCGGCTTGCGTATCGCCCTTGGTAGTCGGTTTACATTCACCCGGGCGTGTACGAAAGAAATAGGCAGGCATGAAATCCGCAAATAACCCCAATCGTCTTTGCTCTCCTTTCCGGATTAAAACAAAAAAAATCGGAAAAATACGCATATATCGGGAAGGTTTTATATTTACACTAACATGAAGCAATTAACTCGTGAATTTCAACGATGATTTCAAAAGGTTGAATTAATTTCAATCCGTTACTTCAAGCAAGAAAACGTAATATAAATCAGAAGAAAACGGCTTACGTGTTGCATAAGTTTCCATGTTAAGAAAAAAATTCTTTAAATACTCTATCAGAAAGGTTTAAGGTTGGTTTTTGTCTCCTAGAACTTAATTTTTTTTTTTTTTTTGACTCACGTACACTTCCGGCTGAGCAAGGTCTTAGATAAGAGTCTTCTTAGTTCGTGTATAAATAGACAGACTCCTAACTATTAACTTTCTGGCCTTTTCATTAGAAACGGCCTTGCTCCTACTCTTTGTCGTAATATCTGCCACTTGATTTTTGTCCATTGTAAGGTTAAAAATTGCAACCGTGCGTCCTGAGTGTTTTCGCCGTTTATACAGTGCCAAGAACTTATCGTTAGATTGAAATAGAATTACCTTTCCGCAGGGGACAATGATTTACTCCGGCCGTTCCTCGTCTAATTGCTTCTGTTATTTGACCGTTCTCTCCCTTCTGCTTTAATCCACGTCTCACCCTGGTGGCCCTTACAAATCCGAACCGACACCAGGATGACTCGTTAAATCCCCTCGCACGTCTTTGCGTTTTTCATGCCTAAATTAACTCAACGGATTTTAAATAAACGCAGTGGCTTATATAAAATGTACTGTATGCAAAAAAGAAAACCCTAACGCCTAATAAAAAAGGACCTTTTGGGCACCCCAACTGTAAAGATAAAAAATTGGTCAAACATCAAACGGAATGTACAAAAATTCAAAATACCAGTTTATAGGGTAAACATGATCTTTTTTAAATTAAAATATTTAAAAAAATATATTTACTAACATCTAATTATATACATACAGAGATCATTTATAAGCCTGAAATAGTCGAATATGCCAGTTTATAAGATAAACCAGATTTTGACTTCTCTCATTCGGTAAATATCAATTCTATTGATTTTTCTGAACAAAAATAACGTTTTTTAGTACCAACAATGAAGATAAATGGCTCTATTTAACTAAATAAATTCAATGGAAAATAGTCAAATAAGCCTGAAAAATATGTCTAATACATTTTTTAAACAGCCTCCAACATTACAATTTTATGATGAAAGACGATCATGAATGAGGCCAATTAGAAATGACTGTTTCTTCTCTGAGCTTTCGAGAATTACAGTCTTTAATCAGGAGAATAAAACTGTAATTATTAATTTAAAAATATAACAAATAAGTACATCTATTCACTAATCAATAATAGTTTCAACTACCTACAATGAAATTTAAAACCGAAAAATAGAGATCTAGATCAAACATGAAAGTGCGTTCTGTAACATAAAGGACATTATCGAAAAGGTATTTTCCTGGGTAAACTGGTTTTTGATTTTTCTAGAAACCTGTAAATATCAATTTTATCTGTTTTTGGAAACTAAAGACGGTTTTTGACGCAAAAGATGAGTAGATTATGATTTAAATAGATAAATCGGAACATTGATAAATAAGCCGGGCGCTTTGTGTCGAAAAGATTAGTTCTTTTTCTTCTTAGATCAACGTCTCTTGAGTTTTTTTTATCAGTAATTATCAATTTTTATCCAAATTTTTAGTTAAAACAAAAAGTGTTTTTGGCGCAAAAGACAAATAAGCTTGAAACTACAATATATTAATATCTAACTGTTTATTGGTTAAACGTGATTTTAGTTTTTCTTCTTCTTGATTAATATCAGTTCTATCAACGCTTTTGGCAGTAGAAGAACGTTTTTGGCTCAAAAAATAAACTAGACACATCGAAACATTGTTTAAAAAAAACCTAATATTTTAAGTTGGATGGACAAACTTTTCAGAATAAACCTGTCTCTACATTTTTTTTATAAGCAAACATCTATTTTATCGAAATTTTAACTCAAAACAAAACGTGTTTTTGGCACAAGTAGATAAATTGTCGCATTTTATCAAAAACTTTAAATGAGCCTGAAATTTTATGTTAAAAATACAACTTTATTAGATAACACTATATTTTTAGAAAAAAGACAGTTGTATTGGTTAACTGTTTTGATTTTTCAATAAATATTTAAATACCAATTGATAAGACATTTTGGAAAAAAGAAAGTTTTGGTCTCAAATGATAATGGTCTTTTTTAGCAAATAAATAAGAAATAGATAAACGAGCCTGACACCGTATGTAGAAAAATGAGAAAAAGAATAATTGTATTGTGTAACTGTTTTTGATTTTTCAATAAATATTTAAATACCAATTTATAAGAGATTTTCCTAAAAAAGAAAGTTTTGGACTCAAATCATAATGATCCTTTTTTTTAAATACAATGACAAATTAATAAACGAGCCTGACACTGTATGTACAAAAATGACGAAAAGGACAGTTTTATTGGATAAATGTATTATTTATTTTTCTATAACTCGATAAATATCAGCCTAACACTGATATAGAAAATTGGAAAAAAGGACAGATTGATTGAAAAACCGTGTTTTTCATTTTTCTTTTAATTTTTAAATACCAATTTTAAAGACATTTTTGTTGAAAAATGAAGCATCTTGCTGAAATGATAATGTA